GTTCCACTTTTGAACACCGTGTCCTGACTGTACTGGTTAAGATACCTGGCTCTTGAGGCCGAAGTCGCCGGTTCGAATCTGTGCATTGCATGGTGGAGGACGTCGGGCTCATGCTGGGATGGGTAGTACCATCCCGTAACCTCAGCTGTTGGGGAGCTAGATGTGCAGATTCACTTAGCTGCAACTGGGACCTGTAAAGCTGCAACGAGAGAGGTATTTTTGCAACCAAACTTGGGCCCCACCACTGATGTTGCTGTGAAACTAGCAGCGCAAACGGGCTATTTTTTTGAAACGTACCCAAAAACTATTGTACGCACCTGCTACCCTCACTGGCCAACTGTTGATCCCAATCAATCTTATATTATATTTTATAGGTAGGAACACAATCAAATGATAAAATGATAAAATGATAAAAATGATAAAATGATAAAACTATTGTACACACCTGCTACTACTTTCAATGGCATCGCAATTAATCGTATGGAGACACATCCGATGACACAGCACCTGCTGAACAGTCCTTTTTTTTTTTATCCTTTCCCTTTCTTTCTCTCCTTCTCTTCCTCTTCTTTCTTCCTCCTCTCTCCTCCCCTCCCTCTTCCTTCCACTCCCTTTCCTCTTCCCCTTTCTCTCTTCCTCTCCCCTCTTTCTTCTTCCCCCTCCCTCCTTCTCCATTTCCCCTTTTCTCCTCCCTTCTCCTTTCTCTCTTCCTCCTCCCCCCTCCTTTTTTTTTTTTTTTTTTCCCCTTTAACTCTCTTTGCTTTTAGTCCAACAGATGAATACGAGGCCGGGGACCTCACATTTCAACCCGGAGTTATCCCAGCAGCATCAGCCGGTTTAGCTTAGCACAGTCTGCGTTATCACAGAACCAATCAATCCCTCACACCTTCTGACCGRTCGGTTTAGCTTATCACAGTCTACTTTATCACAGAGTCATTCAACCCCTTACACGTACTAACCGCTTTGACATGATTCTTACAACCCCGCACACCTTAATTACCCTCCCAAGACAATCCTATTCTACCTACCCACCCAAACTAGATTAGCCTATACACAGACCTACTCACGGTCTGGTACCCGGCCCAATGCGGCCGGGGGGAAACAATATTCCCTACTCCACGCCTGGCACTCTCCTACCCTCCCACACCCCGCAGTCTACCGCGACTGCCCACAGGAACYGAGTGCACCTGGTTCAGTGTCTACCCTACTGTTTCTCCACCCAATTCCCCAGCACCAACCTCCCATCCGAGGACACATGGGCCAGCCGCAGACCCCAAGTGCGTTGGAACCACGACAAGCCTCTGTCGTGGTCCGATTGCGTTACCTTCCTCGCCCAATCTGCTCTGATGGCTGTAGCAAGGAGGCTTTTGAAAAGTGCTTCCGCCTGTTTTTCTGGCAGGCTCTCCCCCTGGAACCTGAGGTTGTTCCTGTCGGCCCAAATCACCCAGAACATAATTGCCCTGCCGACCTGGGCTACGTAGCCCCAGCCTTCTGAACTACTGCAGTTCTGAGGCAGGCAACCTGCAAGGACCCACCTCTGTCCTATAAGATCCATCCTACCTGCAAATCTTTTCCAGTGGTAGTCCCACCACCTCCACCATTTCCATGATCTTGGGCATTCCCACCAAACATGTTGCATTGTCTCCAGAGCCTCCTTACATCTTCCGCATGTTACCTCTACTTCCATCCCTTCATCTGCCAACCACTGAGAGGTAGGAATCGCCAGGTGAGATTGCAACCACAGCAGGGATGCCAACTTCTGAGACGGAATAACTTGAAGTTGTGTCCATAGTTAGGTGAACTCGGATTGCGAAGGTGGATCCAGGTGAGGGACTTGTCTTTCCCATCGACTAGCGACCCTCTCACAGATGGACACTGACTCTGATTTCCTTTGGAGAATCAGACTGGCGTCTAAGTGGTCCAATCCTTTAACCACAGAGTCACCTACCTGCCACCCCCAGACTTCGGGATCAATTTTCAGTTCACCCAATGCCGCCCCATTCCCTACCAATACTGGGATTGGTGGGAACCCCTCCTCCTTCGGGGGTTTCAACCTAACCCTAATCTCTTTCAGCCCCACCACCCCGTACTGAGTCCGCATCCCCACTCTCACCAATGTTGGAAGATTAGTAAGCTCCCGTTTGTATGTTTCCAGCCAACATTTACCAGAATGGTCATCCATCCAACTTTCCAATCTGCAAAACCGATCCTCATCATCAGAGGCAGCCACGAAACACGTACCTAGTGGGTCAACCCCTCCTGGGCCCAGAAGTTGTTCCCATTCTGCAAGAATGGCCTGAAGGAGCTGCGCCAACCGCTGTTCCTGGTTAGGCAGCTGCCCCAAAAGGTCCCTGACTTGTGCAGGGGATTTCCACATATTTCTGCTTTCATCCCACAGATCCCCAATCATGCTAATGCCCCTTTGTGTCCAGCTCTGACCAAAGTTGCCATGTCTCCTCTCTAGTGAAAATCAACTCCCATCCGGGGGCCTGATGCAGTTGTTCTCAAAGAGGTGCTGGCGCTTAACTTCCGTTTTAGACTTCGGGGCAATGCACAGTGTGGGTCTGCACTTCCGCCATGCTTGCAGAATGTCATTCCAGAAACGAGACTTTGGTCGCCTCCTGGCATACGTATCCGTCATCAAGGCGACCCAGACATCCGACGGACGGGAGAAGCGCCACTCCTTTGTCAAGAGGGATTCTGCCAGCAGAACCCAATCCGTGTGTACTTCCGCATCCGCTGCCCTCACCACCCAGTTGGCTAGCAAGGCCGTGTTTTGAGCTGCTGGGTCTATCAGGGCCAAATCCCCCTCACTTCGCGGCCTACATAGCGTGTCCCACGCTACCTTGCTTATGTAACCAGTATCCTCGTTCCCAGCCGGTTTCCAGATAAATCTTCGAGCGGCACCCTTGATCACCTTAAGCATTGAGGTTGAAAATCTCCGGACAGTTGCCACATACCAAAGCAAGGCGAAGGCAAATGCCATGATAGCCAGTACCCGCCCTACCAGCGACAAGTGAAAGGCTGATCCCCAGCTCTTAATCCTCTTACAAACTCTCTCTTGAAGGATCAGCTCCTGTGACGCCGAACAGGTCCCCAGGGCTACTTGAACACCAAGGAACCTTTCCGCTTGGTCCGCCTGCACTCTCACCATCCCCCACTGAACTGCTGGTACGAACGATCTTGGCAGAAAAAAGGTTGACCTTCTCCAATTTACAGATGCATGTCCATACAACGCCTTCACACAGTTACAAAAGAGATCCCCAAAGCCAAGGAAGCGCAGAGTGGACATCACGAAGGTCCAATTTACTCTGTCGTACGCCTTCTCGAGATCAAGTAAGAGCACCGCCACGTTCCTGTCCTCTCTTTCGATAAGCTCAAAGGCCTCAATGGCTGTGACGACATTTTAAAAAAATAGACCTACCACGTACAAACGCACCTTGGTCTGCCACCTGACCAGGCAGAAAATTTCCCAATCTGGTCGCCAACAGCTTTGCGAGCAGTTTATAGACCACATTAAGTAACGAGATAGGCCGCCAATTTCGAATGTCACTCCGATCCCCTTTTTTGAACAGGAGAGATATAATGCCCTTTGTCATTGACGAGCCAAGCCTTCCACCTTCTTTAACCCCATTAAACACCCCTACCAGGTCCTTTACCAAAATGCCCCAGCATACACTGAAGAACTCCACGGGCAGCCCATCCTCTCCTGGCGCTTTGCCTCCGGCCATGCTTCTGAGGGTAGTTGTGAGCTCCTCCTCCGTAACAGGCCGGTCCAACAGGAGCCTTCCTTCCACAGGGAGCTTGCATTCCATGTTGTCCCAGACTGTTGACTCCGCAGTCATATCATCGTCCAAATCCTCGAATGGACGCCTCGTGGTCATGACATCATGAAAGTATGTTGCTGCATATTTACACATGTTGCTGTTTGAGGAAGCGATTGGCATACCTGGCAGGTGAGGGTGCCTGAGTTCCCTCATTTGAACTGCTTTGTTTCTAGGTAAGAGCCTCTTGAATGCCTCCTTCGACAGTCTGTCCGCCGCAACTATGCCTTTCACTTCTAATATCTTAGCCCTCCATTGCTGTTGAGCACTTGGTATGCCTCCCACTCCCGAATTCTCGTCTGTCTTTCCTCTGCCCAAAAGAGATCCGAGATCGGGTTCTCACCCAATCTCTGTTCATCTTCCTTCACCCTACCCTCCAATCGAACCGCCTCCTTGTTGCGTAGGAAGGCTGCAATCCTTGAGAACGAGTCCAGCTTGAGTGAGATGATGTGCAGTCCCGCGTCAACCCACTCTGCCAAGGTGGTGAAAGAAGTCTTGGTTGCATTCCAATCTTGCCAGAACCCTTCCACCCATGAGCTTATCCCCTCATCCGAAAGCAGTGCCGTATTTAGTCGGAAGCAACCCGGCCCTTTGTCCCCCACCGCTGCTACAGCACACTTCATCACTACAGGCTTGTGATCGGAGAGGGGGGTGTTTTGTGCCTCCATACTCAGAACACAGCTTGTGGCCGCCTCTGAAACCAGAAAAAAGTCTATCCTCCTCCTGACCCCTGCCAATCTAGGGGATTGACCAAACCAAGTACAACCAGGCTCAGACGGATACAGTTCCCTATATACATCCCTGATCTTCCAATGCTCCATCCACCTCAGCAGCTTGGCTCTGTCTGCAGACATTCCCTCTGGGGCCTCTGAGTCCAGTCCTGGATTACATACTGTATTCCAGTCCCCACCAATAACCAACCGTTCCCCACGTGGGAGGACATGCGGGAGGGTGTTAAAGAACACTGTCCGGGCACCCGGTTCGTTAGGAGCGTAGATTGTAGCAAATACCCAATCCTCGCCCCCAATAGCCAACCTTACCCAACACCACCGTCCCCAAATATCACTATCGAAGTCAATTAACTGAGCTTCTACACGATTGTGCACTAGGATAGCTACACCCCCTTTGGTACCCCTAGCGGGGGACCATCCCACCAGTCACTGAGCTGAGCTAACTTGAGTTCTGACAGCTTTGTTTCTTGGAGCATAATCACATCCAACCGTTCTTGGTGTATCCAAGCTTTAACCCTTTTCCCCTTTCGGCGCCCTGCACCCACCCCCAAGCCCCGGACGTTCCTAGTGACTATCCTAAGTCTACCCATGAGATGGCAAGGGAACTGCTGCAGATTGGATTCCCGCTGCTGATGGGTTCACATCCCGCGCACCCTCTGGAGAGGCTACCTCATCCATGGCCGCCCAGTCAAAGCTTACGCAGCGAAGAAACGGGCTGGACGTCAGATTACACGTCCTGGGCGTACTAGGATGCAGGTTGGCCAAAAAGATGGCCGCTACTCCTGGACTTACCACGACTTCAAACAAGATTTTCTCTGAAGCTTGAACTAGGCCATTCAGCGGAAAGGAACCTAACCCCACCCTACTCAAGCAGGTCCATTCATCCGAAGAGAAGCGAGCATCAATGAACACGACAGTATATCGGATCATGCGATCGTCCTCCAACACCACTCTGATCTTCGGCATATGAAACTCCGGGAAGATTCGAAACTGCAGTCTATCCGCAAAGAGGTATCTTACTCGATCCGTTATCAGATCCGGCGTGAGAACTCCCGATATGCCAATAGCAGGCAGTGAAAGAGCCTCATTGTTCTCCTTCAGACCAACTATATGGACTTCCTGACCCTCGTCTGTTCCTCCAGGTCATTCAATCCACGACCTTGTAGTTCAGCTCCGTCGGGTATTGTGACTACCCGGACCGGTTGGTCCTGGCCTGGAAGTAGCACCCTCGGTAATCTTTCTACATCCCCATTTTCGTCCTCCAATTCTTCTGCATCCTCATCCACCTGCGTGGCTTGCTGTTCCTGAGGTGCAGGCAGCTGGCCTCCCGAAGCTGGTTCCGGTGTCCCAGACCCGCCACCTCTCATCTCTCCCTGTGCTTGCACACCTCTCCTGAAGTTGCCCTCCATGTAGGTACCCCCATAGTCAAGAACATGACCGGCATCATATGGAAATTGAAAGTACGGATCCAGACCCAAGCCATTGCAACCATAAGGTTGATGATATTGCCCCTGCCACTGCACCGGTCCCCATCCTGGAACAAAGGGACGGAAACCAGGGTTAAAAATTGGCTGTTGTGCTGGATGCAGGAGTTGGGACTGTGATCCTCTGGCCGTCGGGGGAGGCCTGGCTCCGTCGGCCGGAGTCTGCAATTCTCCAATACCCCTGGGTCGGCCCGGTACTTGCCCCCCAATTCTCAATTCACTCCTAGCGCTTCTCACTTGAGAGTCGCCTCGTGTCGCGACTGGTTCCTGCACAGCCCGGGGTCCGGGCCTATCGACAGATGTAGTGGGACGTATTTGTCCAGTTCCACCTCGTGCACCCACTTGATCTCTTGCCGCTACCCGTATATACGGATTGTCTTCCGGTCGTTCCGCCCTGTCAGAGCCTCCCCCCCTTCTCCCCATACGCTGACCCCCTTGTTCCGCTTCCTGTTCACCTTCCCGGGGGTCAGCCGTATGATACCACCACTTGCATCTGTCACACCAAGGGGTGTGCTTACAGACAAACTTTATGCTCAATACTTCATTCCCCAATCGAATCGAGAGCTCGGGCTCAAAGTTGGCTTCCGCCTCCTTCACCAATTCAAACTTCAGGTTCATTAGCTTAGGTCTCGACCGATCCTGCTCCGGTGGTAAACTGTTAATCACGTGCCCCATCGCTGACTCCACCATACTTTCCACATGAAACATGGCTCTGAGAGGAACTCTGAGCGCCATCACCCAGAACTTGGTCTGATCGTCTAATCGCCTTCTGTCCTCCAATTCCGTGCGGGTGAGCCAAGGTTTAAAGAGCATACCATATTCAATACCCCTTATCATTACTTTATCCTCCACTTTTGCAATTAGCCATTGAGCAACTTCTCTGGTCCGGGCTACGTACGAAACTACGTTGGGCCTTCCGCATCCACCCTACCCCTTTTAACACTCCGGTCAAAAGTCCCCTGCCTATACCAGCCATTCTCGTACGCTCTAATTAAATTCTCCCTCACTCGCATCGGAGGTCGCGCGCTTCCCCTTGAAATATTATTGTGACGGTCCTCTCCTTCAGCCAGTTCGTTGTCAACTCATCCAACCTCGTGTTGACAACGAATGTACGAATTCCCCCTTCAACCGCCCACTCCCCATGTTGAAATTTCTCTGGCAAAATTCCATCGTCGTAGCACTTGGCAATAAGTAGCTTCAAACAGTCTTCATCCAAGAGCGGAACGTCCGTGTGTGCAGGAGGCGACCGTCCCCTGGACCGCTGCTGGCTACTTGAAGCATTCGCAGCTGCCATGTTCCAATATCGTAGCCCTACTTCCTCCCTTTCTCCTCAAAGCCACCTAACCTTATTACGTCCAACTAGCCCTCGAGAGGTCCATCCTAACAGCGGTTCTCACGATTATATAGACCGATAGATTCCCTTACTTAGTCGACCAGCAGGTAACTTCAAACCACCAACCTCAGCACAACTCGTCGTACAACCGCATCAACAGCGGGCGCCCTCCCGGCGCTCGCCCAAATTAGACAGACAGAACCCTACGCACCTGCCACACAGTCGGAAATCCACACACCAACGCATGGCTGCATGCAACCTTGACTTCACACCTGCGAACTCGTAGTAACCGAGGGAGGCAGCCCTTTACTCACCCTTCGCTGAAGAGGCTCAGAAGTTGCCGAGCACGATAAGCAAAGACACTGACGTCGTAATGATGACGACCTCGGTGATGGCTGCGCCAGTACTACCTGGCTGTACGGGCTTAGAGCGCGTTGCGCCAACCGCCGTCCGCTGCCGGGCCTAGAGTCCGCTGGAAGCGTCAGTTCTGTCGACAACTCCGACCGGCCGCTACCGTCGATAGCGCAGCGGAGCGTTAGCGCAGAATTAGCGCTGCCAGAGGATTCGCGGCCGCCATTTTTCTCCTGAACAGTCCTGTTCATCCTCTGTGTTCGACGATC